CTTAAGATAGTTGGGGCACCAGGGTGGCTCAATTGGCTAAGGGTCCAACACTTGGTTTCAGCTCAGGTTGTGATCTCAGGGTCGTGAGATCAAGCCCCAATATCGGGCTCTGTGCTCAGCACGGAGTCAGCCTGAGATTATGTCTCTCTCTCTCTCTCTCTCTCTCTCTGCCCCTCCCACTTGTGTTCTCTCTCTCCCAAATAAATAAATCTTAAAAAAAAATTTTAAAAACCTTAAAAATATTATCTTATATGATCTCTCAGCCCCTTGCATTGCAAAACAATGATAATAAAAATGTGTATATGTACACAGAAACACACACATATATATGTATATGAATATATAGATGCACATATATGCGTACATATTCATTTTTTACAAACACCTCTTCATCTATAAGAGTTGGAAGATTATTCTATTTCCTAGTTTACTTGGTTTGTAATATCATTTATCCTGTCAGTGTAGATCTTAAAATTATTTAACTTTTTGCAAAAGCTTAAAGATCATTTCTTCTGGAACCTTAGCCATTTCTACAGTCTGGTTTCGGCCATGGTTTTTAGGTTTTTCTGCACTACCTCCTTACACAAACTCCCCAGTGAAAGGCAAACTGCTTTACTCTGTTCTAATGTCAAACTTATTGATTCCCCATTTACAGATTTTGTTCCCACCCTGATAAATGGCTTACTAGAAACATGAAAATTCAAAACATCTCAAGACTCTACTTTTTCAGTCTTTACAAACTTTCATGCACTAAAGGAACCTCTTATTTTTATAATACTTAGCTGTACTGATGCTTTACCAATTAAGTCTGGCCTTATGGCATTTCTTTTTATTATTATTTTGAACTGTTAACTGCTTTCTTATTGTCATTTTGCTTTAATTGCTGTATATGTTCTGGTCACTCTTTTGTTTTTTGGTTTTTTTTCTGGTCATCTTTCTGAAGTGTTCCCCTGCACTCTCCAGTTGAAGTGCTAAGCATATAGTCTTACATGTAGCTGCAGTTCCATAATATTTACTGGTGGGAATTGAAGTTCTTTTTTTTATTATTTTATTTTATTGTGTTATGTTAGTCACCATACAGTGCATCATTAGTTTTTGATGTAGTGTTCCATGATTCACTGTTTGCGTATAACACCCAGTGCTCCATGCAGTACGTGCCCTCCTTAATACCCATCACCGGGCTAACCAATCCCCCCTCCCCCTTACCCCCTCCCCTCTAAAACCCTGTTTGTTTCTCAGAGTCCATAGTCTCTCATGGTTCATCTCTCCCTCCAATCCCCCCCCCATTTTTCCCTTCCTTCTCCTAATGTCCTCCATGTTATTCCTTATGTTCCACAAATAAGTGAAACCATATGATAATTGACTTTCTCTGCTTGACTTATTTCACTTAGCATAATCTCCTCCAGGCCCATCCATGTTGATGTAAAAGTTGGGTATTCATCTTTTCTGATGGCTGAGTAATATTCCATTGTATATATGGACCACATCTTCTTTATCCATTCATCTGTTGAAGGGCATCTCGGCTCTTTCCACAGTTTGGCTATCGCGGACATTGCTGCTATGAACACTGGGGTGCATATGGCCCTTCTTTTCACTACATCTGGGTGTTTGGGGTAAATACCCAGTAGTGCAATTGCTGGGTCATAGGGTAGCTCTATTTTTAACTTTTTGAGGAACCTCCACACTGTTTTCCAAAGTGGCTGTACCAACTTGCATTCCCACCAACAGTGTAAGAGGGTTCCCCTTTCTCCACAACCTCTCCAATATTTGTTGTTTCTTTCCCTGTCCATTTTTGCCATTCTGACTGGTGTAAGGTGGTATCTCAGTGTGGTTTTGATTTGGATTTCCCTGATGGATAATGATGATGAACATTTTTTCATGTGTCTGTTAGCCATTTGTATGTCTTCTTCAGAGAAGTGTCTTTTCATATCTTCTGCCCACTTTTTGACTTGATTATTTGTTTTTTGGGTGTTGAGTTTGAGAAGTTCTTTATAGATCTTGGATACCAGCCCTTTATCTGTAGTATCATTTGCAAAGATCTTCTCCCATTCTGTGGGTTGCCTCTTTGTTTTGTTGACTGTTTCCTTTGCTGTGCAGAAGCTTTTTATCTTGATGAAGTCCCAAAAGTTCATTTTTGCTTTTGTTTCACTTCCTTTGGAGATGTATCTTGAAAGAAGTTGCTGTGGCCAATGTCAAAGAGGTTACTGCCTATGTTCTCCTCTAGGATTTTGATGGATTCCTGTCTCACATTGAGGTCTTTCATCCATTTTGAGTTTATCTTTGTGAATGCTCTTAGAGAATGGTCAAGTTTCATTCTTCTGCATGTGGCTGTCCAATTTTTCCAGCACCATTTATTGAAGAGACTTTCTTTTTTCCATTGCATGTTTTTTCCTGCTTTGTCAAAGATTATTTGACCATAGAGTTGAGGGTCCATATCTGGGTTCTCTATTCTGTTCCATTGGTCTATATGTCTGTTTTTGTGCCAATACCATGCTGTCTTGGTGATCAAGCTTTGTAATATAGCTTGAAATTGGGCAACGTGATGCCCCCAGCTTTGTTTTTCTTTTTCAACATTTCCTTGGCAATTCAGGGTCTTTTCTGATTCCATACAAATTTTAGGATTGTTTGTTCCAGCATTTTGAAAAATGTCATTGGAATTTTGATCGGGATGGCATTGAAGGTATAGATTGCTCTGGGTAGCATAGACATCTTAACAATGTTTATTCTTCTGATCCATGAGCATGGAATATTTTTCCATCTTTTTGTGTCTTCTTCAATTTCTTTCATGAGTGTTTTGTAGTTCCTAGAGTATAGATCCTTTACCTCTTTGGTTAGGTTTATTCCAAGACATCTTATGGTTTTTGGAGCTATTGTAAATGGAATCGTTTCTCTAATTTCTCTTTCTACAGTTGCATTGTTAGTGTATAAGAAAGCAACTGATTTCTGTGCATTGATTTTGTATCCTGCCACATTACTGAATTGCTGGATGAGTTCTAGTAATTTGGGGGTGGAGTCTTTTGGATTGTCCACATAAAGCATCATGTCGTCTGCAAAAAGAGAGAGTTTGACTTCTTCTTTGCCAATTTGAATACCTTTTATTTCTTTTTGTTGTGGAAAGACATACTCTTAAAAACATTTTATGTCCACTTGAAAATTAATTTTGATAGACAGCTGTCAAACTGTGTCAATAACCTATAATAACTCAAAGAACTCCTGCCCATAAATATACTTAAAAAAATTATGATAATACTGACAAAATTTGTGTAAGACCCATCCATGGGGATATTTATTCCTGAGTCTTCTAAAAAATCAATTTAGCTTGAGAAGTTTGAACTTGCCTTTATTCTAGAAGTAACTTCCCAGGTTAATCCTTTTTTTAAAATTTCTAGCAACAGGCTTGGATTAAAATGTTCAAATAAGGTATTGTACTTGACACCATTAGGTAAGTCAGAGAAAAGCAGAGCCATTCTTGCTGAACTTGGGTTAAGCACCTCGAAGCCCTGACTGTTCACCGCTGCCCTCCACTTACCTCTGCAAACCCTAGGGCTCAAAGGATCAGGGTTGTAATCAATATCATTATTATTTCATGCTTTTGAAATCTATCCAGAATTCCTGACAAGATGGTGCAATGGGTCCATGCTTTGATATTCCCTCTATTCCAAAACATAGCAATGCTAGATGGAAGAGCTATCACATAAAAAGGCTTAGAGACATGACAAATATCAGCGTGGGACAAAACTGGAGTAGAATCAGAGAAGAGAGATCAGGCCTGAAACCTAAGTCTGCTGGTTTCCAGGTTCTCAAGCAAGTAGGAGATGGGAGATGCCTAATGGCAGCCTGGAATGAAGGGTTCTGGTTCAGCTCTAACTTGTAAAAAGAGCCTAAATATTATTACTGCTTTACAGGAAATTATAGTCCTAATGAGACAAGAAAATGAGGGAAGAAAACAAAAATAATTTCAGGACTAAGAGTAGCATCCAGGGGAGGTCAAGTACTTGGCACAACTAGATTGCTATGGAAATGTCAGTACCCTTGGTTAGCATCAGTAAAGTCATTTTTCTGAAACAGCTCATCTTACGAGCAAGACTTACTCTGTCTCTTGAAGTCAGGCCAACAAGAGACTGTGGAATTAGTAAAATGCACCATGCTAGGAAGGCACAGAGTCATAGTACATTGAGCAGCCCTGACCTACATCATGTATCCGGTGACCACCCGGGACTTACAACCATGTAGAAATTGATGAACATTCAAGTCATGGCCATTTCAATTGTGTATAATGGCAGGGACATTAGGGGAACAACAGAAGCACAGGGAGCTCAGCCTTGAAATAAGTTTATTCTAGTCTAAAATCAGTTCAGACTACATAGTATACACAGTGTACTGTAGACCTACACAACTGTATAATAGTGCATAGTGCATAGGTGGGAAATGATTCTATCAACAAACTTCTTTTTGAAGAATCAAAAAGAACAATAATATATAATTTAAATGTAGGACTAGGGGGGCACCTGGGTGGCTCATCATTAAGTGTCTGCCTTCGGCTCAGGTCATGATCCCAGAGTCCTGGGATCCAGTCCCGCATTGGGCTTCCTGCTCAACATGAAGCCTACTTCTCCCTCTCCCACTCCCCCTGCTTTTGTTCCCTCTCTCACTGTGTCTCTCTCTGTCAAATAAATAAATAAAATTGAAAAAAATAAAAATAGGGGTGCCTGGGTGGCTCAGTCATTAAGCGTCTGCCTTCAGCTCCGGTCATGATCCCAGGGTCCTGGGATCGAGCCCCGCATCAGGCTCCCTGCTCCACGGGAAGCCTGCTTCTCCCTCCCCTGCTCCCCCCTGCCTGTGTTCCCTCTCTCGCTATGTCTCTCTGTCAAATAAATAAATAAAACCTTAAAAAAAAAATAAATGTAGGACTAGAAAGATGAGGGATGATACAATAAACTGTCTTATTATTTCATTAGAAGAAATTCATTTAAAAAATGATTTTTTTTTTTTTTCCCCAGCCAATGGGAGCTGTTCTGATGGTGCGTTGATGTGCACTTCTTCTAATAGCTGTATCCCAGTTCACGAGCGCTGTGATGGTTTGGCCAACTGCATGGATTTCCAGCTTGATGAGTCCAGCTGCTCAGGTATTCTATTTCCATTAAAATATTCTTTACAGTATAAGCCAGTAACTTAAACCTGTAGATGATAAAAAATATCATGAATTTCTAAATAATTGCCATGTATGGAATCATTGAATTTCTATTATTGGTTTGGGTCAGGAAGAATATTAACATTGCTACCCATATTAAAAAACATAAATATATAATATAATGAACTCAATGCTTATTCTATATAGATGTCCCCAAATAAAAATCAAACACTTAATTTTAAGTTACTATAACTTAAAGTTATTAGTATTTGATAATCTCTTTGATGCAAATTGCTGGGTTTCTAAAATAAGGAAATAATCTAACATGTTATTGATTTTTAATTATAATTTTCCCCACTTCTTTATAAGACTTCCCTATTTGCATGATCTAGTCATGTTTAAAAGTCAGTTTATTAAGCTTTAGACTGACTTTTAAACATTTTTCTCTCCTGACCCTGGAATATTTATCAGAGCTGATAATGTATGTTTGTGATTATACTTTTATCAAAACTGCTTTAAAATTCTCTAATTTATTATAGTCCACTGATAACATCTCTCCTGGATAATTGAACTTTTATTTCATGCAGGAGATATATGAAATAATAGGTAGGGGCAATATAAATCTCTCACAACTAAATGATAATATAAATTGGTAATAAAAGATATATTCAATCATATCGGGTGCCTGGGTGGCTCAGTTGGTTAAGCGACTGCCTTCGGCTCAGGTCATGATCCTGGAGTCCCTGGATCGAGTCCCGCATCGGGCTCCCTGCTTGGCAGGGAGTCTGCTTCTCCCTCTGACCCTCCCCCCTCTCATGTGCTCTCTTTCATTCTCTCTCTCTCAAATAAATAAATCTTTTTTAAAAAAAAAAGATATATTCAATCATATTTTCTAAATAAATTGGAGATATTTAATATCAAAACTAGATGAGAATATAGTCTTTGTATCTTTCAAGAGAGCAGACTCTTATGAGATAAGTGACAAAAGCATGATAATTATAATCAAATCACAGTGCAAAAAAGTCTTATTTTTTATGCTGCCGAAATGAATACTCACAGAGCCCTGAATTATATGAGTACAAAAGGAAATCAAGAAGCGAGCAAATCTGGTCCCATTAAATATGCAAAGATGAATGCTCTCTGGCATTATTTCTGTACCAGGCATGCTTATACATCAGATTGATACCCAGAAGGAAATGGTTTCACTTTCTTTTCAGAGTAGGAAAGATATTGAGATAATTTCATTCTTTGAAACTATTAAGACAAAGCACTGATATCCAGTAACCAAATTTATTTTCATAAAGGTGAGATTTTGTTCAGGATAGTCCTCTATGAGAACAAATATAACATGTTATGGTTTATTGTCTGATTTTACATATTTTACCTTTAAAAATATGGTCAGAAAGACAGAAGACTGGCCATTCATCCTGAGTGACTGACAACCTCGAGGTAATAATAGCACATTCTGGTTGCCCCGTCTAGTTTAGTCATTCACCAATTCATTCACAGTTCATTTACAAAATATACGTCATACTGCCCCAGCTACTGGGTTACGGTAATATAAAGAACTAGTGAAGCAGTTTTCAGAAATAAAATCCACATTATAGTTTTTGTTCTCTATTTATATTTTCTTGCTGTTTAGTTTGTCAAACAAATACGATGAAGTCAATGCTTCCGTGTTTAAGAATGCATCTCGGCTTGATCCACACTAAGCAGTGTCAGTGCCCGTGACACCTTCCTCTTTCTTTCCAAACATCATATCCCTTTATGAATGGCATTTCATAGACTTTATGATCCCAATCCTGATAGCATCCAGTAATGTCTCTGGTCACACAGCAGGTGGTGAGCCTCTGGTCTCCCTTCATCTGAGGTTTATATCATTAATGGGAACATTGACCTCAGGCCCTGTGTAAGTGTTGCAGGTTAAGTATATTTCGATGAGGCCTGTGTGTTCCCAAGTTATGTTAGAAAGGCATATTATTTTCAGGTTTTGGTTGCTTATGCAACAGAAAATTATTGAACAGAATGTGTCTGGCTTAATTTAAACTGAGAGTCTTTTTCCAGTTATCTGTAGTAGTAGAGGTTAATGGAAGTTATGTTAAGGTGATACCATAATTATGATAATCATCCTTTGAAGGAGAATGAGGAAAGGCATTAAAAATATAAAGTTGTAGGGGTGCCTGGGTGGCTCAGTCAGTTAAGTGTCTGACTTCAACTCAGGTCATGATCCTGGGGTCCTGGGACCAAGCCCCACGTCAGGCTCCCTGCTCAGTAGGGAATCTGCTTCTTCCTCGCCCTCTACCTCTCCCTTTCCCCACCACTCATGCTTGTTCTCGCTCTCAAATAAATAAATAAAATCTTTGAAAAAAAAGTTGTAGGATGGGATATTATGAATACAATTTAATATATTATTTAATAATAATAATGGTAATGCCTAATAATGTTTCAGAAGGTTTTATTTTTTTATTAAGTGTTTTTAATTTTAATTCCAGTAGACTCAACATACAGTGTTATATTAGTACAATATAGTGATTCAACACTGCTATGCATTACTCCATGCTCACCTTGATAAGTATGCTCTTCATCCCCTTCACTGATTTCATCCATCCCCCTCCATCTCGCTTTTGCTCTATTTTAAATGAATACCCTCAGTTAAAGTTATTATTATTTTGTTTTCAACAAGAACATTTTTTACTTGAAGCATACACCAAACCAAAGCACTATAGAGCTATGCCAAATTTCTAAGCCATAGTTAATCTTCCCTGCAGTCCCTGTGCTGGGATTTCACGATAAAGAGAACAGTGTGTGCCCACTGGGTATTTGGTTTACTGCACCAAACCATCTGGTTTTCTGGAAGACTCTTAGATCCATACAGCTCCTGAAACTACAGGCAAGTTATTGTATGTGTATATTTAATCCATGCCAGTGCATAAATACTGCACCATTCAGAGAAGTTCATGATCATAATCTCAGGAACTGCAAGGGGTTATATAGCAATTCTGATCTGAATAGCAGATCATTTGACATTTTTAGACTAACAGGCTTTGGAGTTAGAGGACTGGAATTTAGTTCAATATCTGCTGCTCCCCTGCTATTAGCTTGAGGAAATTATTAACCAATTTCATCCTCTGTGAAAAAGGATCTATATGGGTATCCCACATAATGTTATGAGGATTAAATGAGGTAATGCCAGTAAAACTCTTAGGACAGTCTTGACACAGAGCAGGTCTTCAGTAAATGATAGTGGTAATGGTGCTCATAATGGTAGAGGGGAAAAGGAAAGGAAAGAGAAGCTGGAGAGAGCATTGGTAATAGAAATTAGGTTTCGTGGGCAATTTAAAGAATTACCAAATAGAGGGAGCTGGCTGAAAACAATTACTTAATAACATTATGCATACCACTCACTAGTATAGAAATGTTACAAATACATTTCATTTTATCCTCTCAGCAGCCCTAGAAGGCAAGGTGATAGATATAATTCTTACTTTAAACACGAGAAAGCTTATACTTAAAGTACTCAGCCCAAAGTTAGACAACGCATTAACTGAGCTGGGTGTCAATGAGGGAAAACCAGGACTGTCAGTCTTCTCAGCAGTCCACCATGCAGTAGCTGTCCCTTCCCAGGCCTCCAGAGACTTTGAAAGAGACCACACATACACACACACACACACACACACACACACACACACTCACACAGGTAGGCATCCAGTTTATATGTGTTCCTGCTTTTCCAGAGTGATAAACCAGAGTGGAACTGAACTTGAACTCTTCATAGAATGCTATTGCTACGTCATACTGACCTCCAGATACATGGTCATAATAACCAATGCAAGAGGGTACAAGGCGTGAGGCACTGATGTGGCTAAGGAGCCTGGGAACTCATGCCAGTTCTAATATCCACCCCATAGATCCCGACTTGCCATTTGAGAACTATCTACTTATCTCTGGAAAGTATTTTTTTTTAATATTTTATTTATTTATTTGAGAGAGAGAATGAGAAAGAGAGAGAGAGAGAGCATGAGATGGGGGAGGGTCAGAGGGAGAATCAGGCTCCCTCCTGAGCAGGGAGCCCAAGGTGGGACTCAATCCCAGGACTCCAGGATCATGACCTTAGCTGAAGGCAGATGCTTAACTGACTGAGCCACCCAGATGTCCATCTCCTGAAGTATTTAATCTCTTCATTGCTAGCTAGTCATAGACATCTCCCTCCCCATTTCAGCTATCCCATGCTTTAAATTGTTTTGAGTAAAGTAAAGGTGAAAATATGTTGTACTGGGTCTTTCCATCTTATGGATAAAGAACCTGGGTCTAAGCAGAAACTGAAAAGAACTTGTTGTGGAGGTAATCTACAAAGTGTCTCTCCTCCAAAACACCAAGTTTTACTCCTTGCTCTGGCCAGTGCTTCCTCTCCACTGTGCTCCATTATCCAGTGTAATAAAATGCATATTTAAATTTCCATAGCATGATTTAATGTAGAGCAAGCCTATGTTTTACTCTTAGCCATCAAGGTAAATATTAATGACCCCAGGAAAAAAAATGTGCAGCTGTGTGTATTTTGATGTTCTGCAGTATCAGACACTTTACAGTTTTTTTCTCATAAAAATAAAGCCCTTGTGTGAGGAAGACTAAAATTGTACTTAAGACCAAACATAACCATAAAATGGTTTATCTAAAGGTTTGTAGCTATTTATGCTTTATCATGCTGGTGGGCTATTTTTCGTCAAACCAGCTAATTTCTTGTTTAGGAAGGAAATTTGACATCTGTTCTGTTCAGCCAAGCATGCCCGGAAGCCTGAGGGGTGTAGCTGCACCCCCATCTTTAGTACCACACTCCCGGGTTGGAATTAAATAGGGAAGAGGAGGGAAGGGGAGATATGGAAACTGCAGTTGACCCTTAAGCAGCGCAGGTTCGAGCTGTGTGGCCCCACTTACATGCAGAGTTTAACGGGATGGTACTGGAAATGCAGTTTCTCTTCCTTATGATTTTCCAAAGAGCATTTTTTTCTGTCTAGCTTACTTTATTGCAGAAACACAGCATATAATACACATCACATACAAAAGATATGTTCACCGACTGTTTATGTTATCAGTAAGGCTTCCAGTCAACAGCAGGTGATTGGTAGTTTAACTTTGGGGGGAGTTAATAGTTATCTGTGGATTGTTAACCATGCGAGGGTCAGTGCCCCAAACCTCCATGTTGTTTAGGGGCCAACTATATCCCTGGGGGAGCAAATTTCTGGAAACCTTTGAGAACAAAAAGGACACCAGACACGTGGTATATTGCAAATGTGTTCCCACACTGCAACCTCCCTCCTTCCCTATTTTTCCTCTTTCCTACTGTCTTTTCCACCCCATTCCCAGTGTTCGGTGACTGGCTCCACAATCTGACTCTCTCTAGTTGCCCTTCAAAGTTTTCCTCCGAGGAATATTTTCCTATATGAAATTTTTGTTTCTCCTTATTACTTTTCTACTATTGTTCATTATCATCATCGTTTCTTTGCCCAAGTAAATTGTTTCTCTCTCTGCTAAGGTTAGTCTGCTCCTGTAAAGACAAAGACTGTATATTTGTGACCATAAGACACCTAAAAAATGGGGCGCCTGGGTGGCTCAGTTGGTTAAGCGACTGCCTTCGGCTCAGGTCATGATCCTGGAGTCCCAGGATCGAGTCCCACATCAGGCTCCCTGCTCAGCGGGGAGTCTGCTTCTCCTTCTCATGCTGTCTCTCATTCTCTCTCTCACAAATAAAAAAAATCTTAAAAAAAAAAGACCTAAAAAATGATCTCAAGTGATTTTTGAGGGGCAAGCCTGAAAAGTGATGATAGCTGAAATGCAAAGGGAGAAACCCGAAGCTTCAAATCCATGCCCTAGCCTGTGTTTTATCTGGGCTTCAGACCTGCAAATAATATTGCCCAAGGAATACTTCTACTTGGATGTCCCCTTAGGCACTTAAAACACTAGCATCTTTCCCTATAAATTCTCCCTTCCCCACAGTTCCCCCAATTCAGTGAATGAAACCACCAACTAGCCAAGGGCCCAGCCAGAAAATTGAACATCACTCTTGATTCTTCCAAAAAATCACCAGGATGTTTCAATCCCAACATTTAAATATCTTATAAATCCCCACAATTCTCAACCTCCTACCCCACCCCTTTCATTTAGGCAACCACCATTTCTTACTGGATTATTACAAAAAGCTCTTAACTGGGCTCCTGAATTTTTTAGTCTTAACCCTTCTGTTGACTTTACATACTGGATCCAGAATAGTCTTTTTAAAGCATGAAATATCCGTTTAGTTTCTTAAAATTCTGGCCTCCGAGGTTAAAGTTTAAACTCCTCACTGAGCCTATATGATCTGGCCCCTGTGTGTCTCTGACCTTCTTCCATACTCTCTTCACATTATCAGTCCTACCAGGCTGAACTTCCGTCAGATCCTCAAACACACCGCACTCCCTTCTTGGGCCTCTAAGTCTTTATGATTATTTTTACACACACACACACACACACACACACACACACCTGCCCTCATCAATGCCCTGATTTTCTTCTGGAAAACTTTTCCTTATTCCCCAAATTTGATTTAGGTGCTTCTTGGTACTCTCATCATCCTTGTTACATCCATTCCAAATTATATTACTTTTAATATTGTATTTTAATTCCCTAGTCACTTTTTTTGTTTTGCATTTTCTATGAAGCTGGAAGATCAACAAGAGCAAAGACCACAATTGTATCTTTTTTAGATCAGTGTTTCTTTTTTTTTTTTTTTTAAAGATTTTATTTATTTATTTGACAGAGACACAGCGAGAGAGGGAACACAAGCAGGGGGAGTGGCAGAGGGAGAAGCAGGCTTCCCACTGAGCAGGGAGCCCGATGTGGAGCTCGATCCCAGGACCCTGGGATCATGACCTGAGCTGAAGGCAGTCGCTCAACCAACTGAGCCACCCAGGCGCCCCTAGATCAGTATTTCTTAAGCATGGGCTGTGATCTAGGTGTTTTCTAACATTCTCAACAACTCTGTGAGATAGGTACTATTTTTAACCCTGTTTGACAGAGAAGAACCAGAGGCACAGAGACATTAACTAGCTTATCTTATCTTATATAGCTAATTAAGTGAGTTGAGATTCTTCCTCAGGCAGTCTGGCTCTGGTGCTTGTAGCTTTAATAATTTTGTAAACTTCCTGTATTATTTATTGTTATATATCTAGTGCCTAGCCTAGTGCCAGACATTAACAGATGCTCAGAATAGATGTGTTGAATTACAAATTTCCACCAAGTATTGGAGTTAAGACAGCCAAACCAGGGGAGAATGGTATCCTGCAAGAGATATCATTATATCTTGCAAGAGAGGAGTTGTCAAAAAAAAGCCAAGAAAAGCAATTTGGGGATTAAGTAAATAGGAAAACCAAGAGGTCTTAGTAGATCAGGATGGATGTGAGGATCCAAGGAGACTGTAAAGAACCCTGAAGAGCTAAAGGCACTAACCACTGCAGAGTCATACCTATGTGACAATATCTAGCTTCTTTTTATTCTATAAGCAAACCACCTTTGAAAATAAATGTTGATGCCAACCTAGAAGGGGGGAGTGATACAAGCAGCAAGAGAGCAGGGCCAGGGAAATGAAGGTCGATTTGAGCTATGCTGATGTCTGTCACGGATGCAAAGGTAGGACATGCACGTGCATGAGTGACATTTTACCAAGAAGACAAGGTCACCCGTGCAAAGCATTGTCTGTCATGATAGTGACTATTGTGTGGAACTGAAGACAATAAATGTTGCATTAAAGAACAAATTTCAGTATAATCACAAATATGTCATGCAGACATGTTCTAAATAAGATTTTACTTAATCCAGGGGAGGAAAAAAAGTCTTCTCTTGTGGTCAACCACTCAGGCATGTGAAGAGAATGAACACATCAAGGGCAGCAAGGGCCACTGAACAAATTTGTGGGGCACAGGGGAGTAGCCTAGGAGAATTCTTGTGCTTTTAGCAACTGGGAAGCAATTTACTCTCAGTGGCTAGATTTAATGCAGTGATTAATAGTAATATGTCCTCTTCCTTCCTAATAATATTTACAATTAACTGTGGGTTTTGTGATGCTTCTTTTTAGAGTGCCCATTTGGTTACTGCAGAAATGGTGGGAATTGTGTAGTGGAGAAGAACGGTCCTGTGTGTCGGTAAGGAGCATTGTCTACTTTTTCTTTGAACGGTTATTGCCATTAGCTTACTTATTTTTCTCGACGCTGATATAATACACCAACGAACACGAGGTTACTGAGGCAAAAATAGTGGATAATGGCCTTTTTTGCATTTGTCTGTCTGAGTAAGAGAAAGGAAGATGCGAGTATATTTTAGAAAAAAGATTGCAATTATTTAACATGATTTTATGTCTTAACATTTTATATTATATAGGACATAGTTTTAATACTCATTCGTTCTTATTTTTAGTATTTATATCAGGTTATAAAAAGATTTTTTATATGGGTGTCATCCTATTTCAGATGAACTTAGTGTCTGTATTTCCTTATTCCCTTTTTATTTCACATTTCATACTTCTCTTTTCTAACAACAAAGGATAAAATCAATTCATCAATAAGACCTTTTTCTAGTTTATGCAATGGATGCTTATGAGTAGCCAAAGTTAAGGTACAGATAAGGAATACATTTGCATACTTAAAGCAAAAATAAACAAAAACAGTCCTTGTGATTTCTTTGGGGAATTATTTATATTGCATATCAAAGATTGCTTGATTTTTTCCCTCACCCTTTAGGGAATTGTGCAAAACAGTTTCATAAATTCCAAAGGAAATGATGCATATTCCATTATATTTGTGTTTATGACTTTTTAATCTAGCAGACCAATGGATATAGTGCTTTGCTTATTAGAGAACGGATTGTAGGTTGATACTCAAGTCATAACAAAGCACATAGAAGTATCTGGAAAACATTGATTGATATTTGTTTAAATACTTATATCCCTCTGAGTCAACACTTGTATTTTAGGAAAAGTTGTTTATCCCTTTAAAAGCAAAAATCTCTACCGATTAACACAACAAAAAATTTTTTATGATGAGATATGTTTAGACACTGTTTTAACATTGTTGAAAGAGAATATTAATGGGTTTCTCTAAGTGTTTTGTCTATTTCATTACATAATTTATTTCACAACATCTCAACAGAATTGTACTTTCCCCTGTACCAGTTTCCATGGAAATTAATTTTGTCACAAACTAAGTTGATGGAAAGACAGGATGCATAGTATTAATTTCTAAAAGTCTCCTGAAAGAAGTTGAGAATGATGCCATAAATAATGTCTATCGAATGTCAGCTGAGTGGATAATGTTGTTTAGTGTCAGCTATTTACAGTAAGGAGGTTTGCATTTTTGTCTTCTCTAGTGCTGGCAAGAAAGTTCTCTGGACTGTAGCTAGTCTCAGCTAAGCAAACAGAGTTTTGCGTTCTTGGCAATGTCTTCTGGTACTTAAATAAACTTTAAAAATGGAAATACAGATGGTGACGTCTGAAATGCGTTTCTCTCACATGAGAAAACTCTAACATGGGGGAGAAGATGCAATGGGAGGATTAAGAGGCAAAGGGACCAAAGGAAGGAAATCAATGCAGAAAAATGTAGAAAAAATTCATTAATCAAACATTTTAAAATAGTATTTTTGATGTAAATGATACTTTTCAAATAGTGAAATAACTGATCACCACCAGCATAAACAAATGTTTGGAATTAGTGTTCCTTTCAACATAGGTGTGAAAAATGACTTGAGGTTTTTTTCATATTATAATATGGTATTTTCATCATTCAAATTCTAATTACTTTAAAACCGTGAACTGCAGAAGTAACCATATGTATATTATAATAAACTTTTAGAAGGCATTACAGCAGTGTATCGGGCAAAAAGTAGAAACCCCAACATCTAAATCCCACTCTGTATTATTATGGTTTCTGTCCACCTAAATATGGTTTCCCTTTCACCAACACAGGTACACACACAAGCACACATTTGTTCCTTACAGAAATATGAACTATACTTTACACATTCACTTTGCACCTTGTTTATGTTTTTTTTTCTTTTCTCTTTGTAAAATATTGTGCTGTTGTTCCATGTCGGTACGTATGGCTCTAGATCTATCACTTGCCAGCTGTGTAGTGTTGAGCAAATTTCTCAATCTGATGTGTCCAGCTCCTTGTCTGGCAAACTGGAGAAGATAATAGCACCTACTTCATAGGGTAGTTGTGAGACTCGAAGGGGTTAACATGTGAGACACTTGGTACTGTATATGACATACAGAAGATACTATAGGAAAGCTTAGCCATCGGAATATTATATCATCCCTTTTTATGCTGTGTAGTCTACAATATTTAATGTAGGGTCCGTCATTTAAATAACCTCCTATTAATAGCTGTTTAGTTTCTTTCTTAAATATTTGCTTTCACAAATAATCTTGCAACATCCATCCTTTGACTTGTACTTGCACAATTCTTTAAGCACAACATATCTTACTGAAACGCAAAATAACAATGTAAATTATCTCTAGTTGCATTTAGTATCAAATTCATTTCCAATGGAATTTTGTATCCAGGTCATCTGTCACATAGGTATTCTTTTTTGGATTTAAGGTTAAACGAGGGTGGCTTTAGAATGCAAAGTTTTAGAGTAAATATAAAGCACTATGGAAAGATGTTGGCTTTATGTCAAACCCCTGTCATTCCCAAGTGTGAGAATTCAAGGTCTCTGTCACTCAAAGAGGTAAGGACAGAACCAAAGTCCATCTCTTAGCTGGGCATTGTGAATATAAGAACTTCATGGTATCAAAAAGGAGGCCTATCACCAGAGCCTTTGGGTTTTCTCTTGGGATCTAAGGTGCCTTGAGAAAGGACCTTCAGTTTTCCCCTGTGATCCTAGAGAAGAGAGACTTAAAAAAAAAAAGAAAAAAAAGGTCATTTGGGTTGTTGGAAGTTTATAATTATCCACAAGCATAAACACTACTAGGTGAACGAACCATGGTTTTCCATTACTTGAGGACCACCACCATATCTGAGGGCTGAAGAAGCAAATCATGAGCCAAAATAGGGAAATTATTCCTCACCTAAGGAGGCTTGGTTATTATATTACTTTGATATATCAATCTTTCTTTGAAAAATAGATTGAGCTATGTAATATAAATTCCAAAGGGCAGGAAAGAGGTTACAAAGAAAAAAAAAATCAATTCATCAAGGCTAAAAGAAAGAAATAGGAAACAGTATCAAATTAATGCATATATAATTATATATATATAGATAAATTTATTATATATAAATTATATATTATATATTTCATAGATATGTACATTAGTGAAGGTAGGCAGAAAAATATCAAAGCTTGGGTTAATTTATAGATTTTTGAATACAATTTATCAACAGCTACCCTATCCCACTACATTCCACATTCTTAAATTCATTTGCCAATAAGACACAAAAGTTCATTTGGGTGTCTCATGGGCATTACAGATTTAACATGTCCAAAAAGACCTGTTGCCTGGGCAGGGCATATTCTTCTCTTTCTCTCAGATTTGCACACACTGTTCCCTCTACTTAGAATTTTATTTTTCTACCTTACTTGCCCAAAAAATGCCTTTTAATCCTTTAGATCCAATATACATGGCAATTTTTCTGGAAAGCCTCTCCCAGACCAACCAGAGAGAATGCCTCACTCCTTCTTGGCTCCTCTATTGCTTCCCTCATTCTGTTATTTTACAAGTACTGGTTTTACTAAACTACCTATTGAAACCTGTCCTATCCTATGAAGAAATATATTTCCAATTAAAACTTTATTCTTTATGACTATCAAAATTTATTTTCAATTTTTACTAGTTTTTTTCATAAGGATAACTGTTGGACAATTACAGTCACTGAAAATTAAAAAAAAAACTATATTCATATTTTTGGTGCAGAAAAGATTGAAAACAATCAAAGGCTTTGAACTATAAACTGTTTTAAATTAGGATAAATATTTGCTAGAAAGGGGTCAAAATATCAGTTTAAGGAGGAAAATGGTCAACTGGAATTTCTAACTGTTAAAGACAGAGTATGTGGGCAACATTTTGAAGACCATTGTCCTAGAAAATAAGAGTCATATTTGACACACCTTTTCATGGCTAGGACCGAAACACACACTTGACATTGTAAGAGCTATTTGAATAATACACTAAATGAAGTATAAATGAATGAATACAAATGTAAAGTCCTGAAATTTCAAGGAAAAGTACGTACTTTTAAATATGTTCCTAAAATGTATTAAGATATGAGCAAATGACCTACCATAGTCCAAACTGCCAATCGCAAAGGAGACATTGGGTACTTTGTAGGCAGCAAGCAGTGTATTGAATGAAAATATGATATGCTCATAATACTGGAAACAAAAATCACTCCAGTTTGTAGTACAGAACAGATACCAAAATAGAAAAATATTCATTAAAGAAACTCTACTTTGCTACAATGACAGGAGGGGGTGCTCTTAAACTAGGAATCTTATAAACTACCTCAACTCTTCAACCCTGGGCTTGAAATGAAGAGAGAAGTGCAATTTTCTGTCTATAAAAAGCCACTGTTTAAAATAAAATTCAGCTTATGAACACTCTCCTTCTCCCCATCAAAAACAAAACAAAACAAACAAAAACAAAGAAACATGAAGCAAAAAAGAAAGAACTCCAAGACCCTGACTCCAAATTGAATTAAATATTAATTCAGTTAAATTTAGGGACATGGGGGGTGGGGAGTAAAACTTAATTGAGATTTTAAAGTCTAAGTACAGTTGGATAACAAAACAATAAGAATTAAATAAGAATTGATTGAAGCCAGGAAGGAAATGAAATAGAAAAGAAAGACTAAATTAAAACCATTCTCCCAAGAGAGGATAGATTCAAATTAAATCTTTTAAAGAATTCTGAACAAAGTTCGGAAAATAACCAAGGGAACAAAAAGGAGATATAGTACATAATTCAAAGAGAAAGTAGTTGAAGTGGAAGATAAAGAACATGTATATAATTGGAGTCCCTAAAGAGGAAAATAAAACAATGGAATGGAACTAATATTTAAAACTCTAATCCAAGAAAACTTTGAGAAATGAAAGAAGAATGAATTTACATGATGAAAGGGCCAGAAATTACCTGGAAATTTGACACAAAGCC